TGCCAGACACTCCTTGAACTCTGACAGGCTTGGTGCTGTGACCATTACCCTGGTGAGTCTGTTCCAGTGACCGACCACCCTCTCAGTGAAGAACCTTTTCCTAATGTCCAATCTGAACTTCCTCTGATGCAGCTTCCATCCATCCATCCATCCACCTATAGCCTCCCATGGGCACACAGGCACCCCATGACCCACAATCATAGCCTCCCACTGCCCCATCCAGTGTGTGGTCCCATGGCCCTGATGGTGACGAGGCACCACCCTGCTCTTACCACTTCCACGACCATCTCCTGGCGCAGGAACCTGCGGAGCGGGGCCTGGAGCTGTGGGGACAAGGAGGCTCATGAGCGGGAAGCCCCAGGGGGGGACCCTCATGGGCTTCATCCCTGCCCCTGCGGCCCCCCGGCTCAGAACTGGCACCCCAGCCCCTTCCCAAAACTCCCAGGAGCCCACCAAGGCCAAGTGATGATGGGGAAAGCAGGACCTGGAGGAGAAAACAAGTGGCCCAGCCTGGGGTGACCCAGAAAGAGCAGAAATGGTTGCATTTTGGGGAGAAGGAAAGACTGACCCCGTGTAAGACCCCCATACGTACGTCCTCCATGCCTTCAATGTGGGACTCAATCTCCTGCACAATCCGGGCGTTCCTCTCCACCTCCTCTGCGCTCTTCATGCCTTTGTTGATCCTCTCAGCCACTTGCTTGATGTTGCGCTGGGCGTCGATGAGGAAAGGGTGGTCGGGGTGGTCCTCTGGTGTGTGCTTCAGCAGGTCCTGCCATGGGGCCACAGCCAAGATGTCACCATGGGCAAAGCCTGGGCATCGGCCATGCCCTGACGCCCCCAAACAAAAGGCCCTACTGTGCTGCTCTGGCTGCTGGGGATGGAAACCAGCCCCATGCAGTAAAGGTTTTGCAAAGAGCTTTGGCCACCACCAGCCTGGTCTTTACAACCTCTAAAGAGGCCACCAGCTCCTGAGAGCACATCATCACCTTGCTCGGATGCCCAAAATTCATCGCCAGAAGTGTTCAAGGTGAAGCTGGATGAGGCTTTGAGCAATGTGATCTAGTGGAAGATGTCTCTGCCCATGGCAGGGGGGCTGGACTAGATGACCTTTAAAGGTCCCTTCCAACGCAAACCCTTCTGTGATTCTATGAAAGCACATCCCCACCAGCCTGAGCACCAGGGAGAGTGACACTGGCACAGGGAAACTGAGGCACAGAGGGGATGGCAGTGCGACTGGTCCCAAAATGGTGCTGCAACGTCCAACCTCCCAACAGAAAGGTAAAGGGGAAGGGGACTGCACACCCATAGGGAGATGCTGGGGGCGGACAGCGGGGTGACAGTGCTCAGGGTGACCATCCCCAGGAGGGCAGAGCTGCGCGCATACCTGGGGACACCAACTTTGTGTCAAGGGATGGGAAAAGGGTCCAGGAAAGACATGAAACCCCTAAAAGCTCCCGTTACGTGGAGGTGAGGAGGAGCCATGGTCTCACCCGCTCCTGGCACGGCATAGACGCCCTCCTGCCTGCACCCAGCTGCCTGCACCCAGCTGCCTGCACCCACCTTCACCAGCAGCTCGTATCGTGGGATCCTCTGCACCGGCTTGATCATCAGGTCAGACAGAGCCTGCTTCTCCTTGTTCTCACGCATGCTTTGCTGCAAAACACCGTTGGGGGACAAGGACGGGCCCATTAGGTGGGACACAGCAGGGACTCGGCGTGCCACCAGCCCAGGACCTGGAGCAACACCTGTTTGGGGTCAGGTTTGACTCCTTTTTACACCATCCGGAGTGACTCCGGTTCATCCCAACCTGGTCTCTTTGCTATAAAACCAAGAAAAAGATGGGGGGAAAACTCCCAGTCTGACCACAAATTACCAGTTTACTCCCATTAACCCCCATCCTGCCCCACCAGCAGCCTCACAGGTGGCTCTGGACCTTGGCCAACATCTGTGGGGAGAGAAACCAGGACCCACCTCCAGGAACTTTATGAATGCCGGCCGGGCTTCCTTGGCGATTCTGACAGCATCCTTGGCATTGAGGAAGTTATCGATGTAGGCAGAGTAGATGTTCACCAGCACGTCCTTGGAGAACTGGGAGGGGAAAAGAGGGGGGAAAAAGGGGATAGGTCCAGCATGGACCTCCCAGGCAAGCTTGGAAGAAGCTTCCCCAAGGGTTAATCCTGGCTCTGGGCTGCCGCGGGGAGGGCTCACCGGACGCCTGCCCCCCTCGATTTTTCAGCCCTGACATTTCTGCTCCCGAGGCAGAAACGCTGAGCTGCAGACCCAGCCGGTCGCCGCAACACCCCACCGTTACGCTAAGCAGACGGCAGGCCTGGAGATCGTCTCCTGTTCTCCATCCCAGGCGTGTTTGGCCCGTCCTTTAATCACTCCCCTGCCTCCTGCTCCGAAACTTCTCCTGCTGGGGCCGTGCCCAAGAGTGGGCACGCCTGGGTTCCCCGGGGGAAATCCACCTCACGAGGACCTACCGACTGCACAAGGAGGTCGCCCACTTTCTGCTTCTCGTGCCAGTTCTGCACGCAGTCGTGGATCTGCTCCAGGAACTGCTCGTGGTGCTCCAGCAGCTCGGGGATCTGGTCGAAGATCTCATCCACCAGCGATGGGTCACACAACAGCGAATTCTCCGGTTGCTTCAGTGGCTTCATGTAACCCTGCGGGGAAGCAAAGGCATCGGGGTCCACATAGATTTCTTTTCCCACCCCTCAGTAATTTTTCAACCCCTGTAAATATGGGGATTGGTGGCATCCTGCAGCAGGGGGTTCCCCCAGTGAACGTTGGCTTGTGGGGCTCATCAGAGGGACCTGACAGTGCTGGGTCCCAGCAGGTTTTGCACCCCAGCCCCTCTGGGTCCCATCCCACCCAGTGCATCCCCACAGCAGAGTGGGGAGTGGGGTAGGTCTGCATGAGGAACCCCCAAAGCATGGCATCCTCTGTCCCCCAGCCACAGCCTTGAGAGGCTCCAAACTGTCGCTGTCATGACCCTTGGTCACCTCCATCTGCTACAGAGCCTGACCCAGCTAGAGAATCAAGGCAGCATGACCCTGGGATCCAAAAGCCAGTGGGTTCCCAGTGGGATTTAGGGTGTTTGGGACCAGGAGAGGCTGGAGTGAGTGGGGTGGAGGCACCGGGTCAAGCCCTGAACCACCTCACCATCAGCATCTCTTGGGCAATGGCCAACGAGCGATGCTCAGGGTCAGTAGGAAAAGTGGGACAAGAGCAGGTCCTCTGCAAGGCTGGGTGGGCAGCTCTGCTATGAAACCCCTTTTCTCCACCTGTGGGGCAGAGCTGCAGAGGGGAACAGTGCCCCCGGGAGCGGGACAGCTGGATTTGCAAGGGATGCAGGATGAGGAAGGTCTTCTCAGGCCTTGCCTCCTCCTCAGCCTGTCCAGTACAGGGTGCTGGTGTCCTTCAGGATGTTGGGAAGACCATGGAGCTGAGCAGTGAGGATAGGACCCACCTCGAGCTGATTTGGACATCTCCATCCAAGCTGGCGAGGGAGGAGTCATCCCCCAAGGATGAGGTTCCTCAGGCTGACGGTGGGTATCTCGTGAAAACCCAAGTTAGAAAGGCCAAATCCTTCCCGAGGCTCATAACCTGCCTCACCTGTCCTACTGTGGCCAAAATTTCCAGCGGGAGCTGGGCTGGGCTGTGTCATTTATCTCACCCATTATGAAGTTGGGGGAACGAGGACCAGATGGGGAAGAAAAGCATGGAGACAGCCCCTGCCTGGGCACACGAGGAGCACAGGCAGGGCTTGCCCATGCACCATCTGGCTTGGCTGGAAGATGATGCTCCAAGCTGGTCCCTGTCCCTGGTAGCCACTGTGCTACATGCCACCAGGCTACATCATGGATCCAAGCACCTTGTCCCAACTAAGACAGGGAGTTGGGGGTGTCTGGACCCCTGTGACCACCCCCCAGGAAGGTCAGGTCCCCCTGGTTGCACCATGCCTGGACATGTTCCACAGGCAAGAGCTCAGGCATTAATGCCCTGTGGCTCCCATCTGAGTCCAACCAGTCTCTCCAGTGGGGAACCGGTGAGCCCCAGCACGGCTGTTCTCTCTCCAACCAGCCTCCTGTCCCACCTCAGAGGAGGACACAGCCCATGGGACAACCTCTGTCCATGCCAAGACCAGCAGGGACACCACCCGACCCCAAACCCTGTACAACTTCCCCCAAAAGAAGTTTCACAGTGAGGAACCTCTCACCCCTCCAAGCCAACCTCTGCACTAGGAGCAGCCTCGAAGGGTCCTTCCCTCCTGCAGCAACATCTGACAGGGCACATCTGGGTCCACCATGGGGGCATCCTCGCAGGGGATTTATGGGGAAAGCTGGGTGTTGGGATGATGGGTGCCCCACGCCCTCGTGGATATGCCCAGCAGCTGTCCTACAGGCACTGCTTCGTATCGAGCAGAGCAGAGCTCTGATTTTTTGGTGTTTCCACCTGCAGCGGTGTGGTTGGACAACCCACACCTACGCCAGCGTGACCTAGTCTCCAGGGCATTGACCGCCATTAACCTTCTGCAACACCTTCATTAACATCTGAAATGTGGGGTGGACCCTCCAGCCAGGCTGCTCCAAGAGAGCTCCAGGAACCAGCTCAGTAAAAAAAGGACTGAGAAAAACCCTTGGCCCATGGCTGCAGGTGATGACGCTGAGCAGAAAATGGGGGGACATGGGAACGGGGGCTGTAAGGGGTCTCCCATCATGGGATGGCCATCAGCAACAGCGCAGGAGATGGGGTGCAACATGAGGAAGAGCTTTTAGGGGGCAAGCACTGAAAGGGGCTTGGGGACACGATACCCACCAGGTGACAACCCACCAGGAACATTACCGGCTTGATCTGGGGGACAGAGGTGACCCCCATACCCCATTCTTGACACTATTGCCACGCTGCTCCCACCTCCAGCCCTGCTGTCCCCAACATCCCCACTGCCACCCATCCCCAATCCATCCCCGCGCCCCATCAGTGCTGGTAGAGCACCCATGGCTGGGGGTCTGACTTGGGGTCCTGGGGACGGTGACAAGCAAGGGATGGTCACACTGTGACGAGGTTTGGGGTGCCATGTCCCCAGCCGTGCCACGTTACCTGCATCAAGGTGCGCAAGGACTCCACGTAGGACTGCTCCGTGTCCAGCAGTGTCATGATGACGTGTTTCCTCATGTCCTGCCCGGGTGGAAAGAAAGATGAGTTTTGGGGTGACACGATGGAGGGGAGCTACGTGGCGGGTGTCAGTGCCGGTGCAGGGGCTCAGCGGGGAGGCTGAACGCCGGAGGAGCCCGGCTGGCGTCCAGCTCCCCTCCGCTCCCTCTCCACCCCGATGGAGGAATCCGGGAGGATTAGGAAGTACATGACACCGAGCGCACAGAGACGCCTGGTTTCCTCCGCGGCCGCGTCAGGAGCCCGCCCTGGATCTCACAGCCCTACATGGGTTGGTCCCGGCGCCCTCCGTCTCTCCGGCGGCTCCGCTCGGAGCAGTCCCGTAGGAATTCGCCTCCCGCCCGGCACCCTGGGCACCCCAGCGCTGGGCTGTGGCCTGCAGGAGGGGGATTAATGGGGTGGTGGGGGGCATGGGGAGGTGGTGGTGTGGGACGGTCTGCCAGTTTTGGGAAGCAGATGGGTCGGGGTCTTCTCAGTTGTGGGGCTCAGAGACCCCTCTCATGTGCAGCACCTGGGGGGACGCCCCTGCAGCCCAGCCTGCGTGCGAGATGCTCCAGAGCCCAGGGTGTGAGACACCCCAAAAGTTTTGGGTGCAGAGATGCTCCAAAGGCTCTGAGTGCAGAGACACCCCAAAAGTTTTGGGTGCGAGATCGTCCAAGGGCCCTGGGTGCTGAGACATCCCAAAAGTTTTGGGTGTGAGATGCTCCAAGGGCCCTGGGTGCAGTGACACCTCAAAAGGTTTGGGTGTGAAGGTACTACAAAGGTGCTGGGTAGAGTGATACCCCAAATATTCTGGGTGCAGAGATGCTCCAAGGGCCCTGGGTGCAGAGACACCCAAAAAGTTTTGGGTGCAGAGATGCTCCAGAGACTCTGGGGGCAGAGATACCCCAAAAGTTTTGTGTGTGGATATGCTCTAGAGACCCTAGGTGTGAGATACCCCACAAGTTTTGGGCGTAGAAATGCTCCAAGGACCCGGGGTTCAGAGATACCCCAAAAGTTTTGTGTGTGGCGGTGCTCCAGAGACACTGGGTGCAGAGATACCCCAAAAGTTTTTGGTGCAGAGATGCTCCAAGTGCCCTGGGTGCACAGATATCCCAAAAGTTTTGGCTGTGGAGATGCTCCAAAGACCTTGGGTGTGAAACACCCCAAATGTTTTGGGTGCAGGGACTCTGCTGGCCCTAGGAAAGGAGATGCTCCAAGATGCTGGGTATGGAGACACTACAATGGTCCTGTTCATGGAGACCAACCAAGGCCCTGGGTGCAGAGACGCCCCAAGCTTTGCGTGCGCGGACAGCCCAAAGTCCCTGGGTGCTTGGACACCTCAAAGGCCCTGGGTGCAGAGACACCCCAAGCTGTGGGTGTGAGGCACCCCAAAGTCCCTAGAGGCTTGGACACCCCCAAGGCCATGGGTATAGAGATGCCCCAAAGGCCCTGGGTGTGGAGATGCTCCAATGAACCTGGGCGCAGAGACACTCCAACTGTCCCATTAATGGAGACACCCCAATGGCCATGGGTGCAGGGACACCCTGGATGCTGTAGGTGCACAGATACCCCAAAGCCCCTGTGGACAAGGACCCTCCAAAGGTCCTGGGTGCTCGGACACCCAACAGCCCTGGGTGCAGAGATGTCCCACCTGGCCAGCACAGCATGTTGGGACCAGGTTCCCCTGACCTGCTGCCACTATGGGGGTTCCTGGAGCCACCAAACCCCAACATGACCCATCTCCTCGTGGGATGAGCCTCTGTGCCCCAGCGACGCGGGGCTGCGTTCCCCCCTGCTGCTCCCGGCAGGGACACGAGTGCCACAAAGCCGCTCTGCAACCACAGAAGGAAGCCTTAACCCAACCATCTTCACCACAGATGGAAGCCACCATCTCCCCGGTGGTCCCCAGGGAGCAATGGGAAGGGATCCTGGCCAAATCCTGCTCGGTGCTCGAGAACAGAGCCGTGCCTCAGTTTCCCCACTCACCCACCCACCAAGCTGCTATCAGCCTCTTCAGCCAAGCAAGGAGGAAACTGTCTAGAGCCAAATATGATGGTGACGGGTCAAAGCCCCCCCAGGAAACCTGCCCTCGCAAAACATGTTGATGCCGGGGGTCCTCCGGGATGCTGCCTGAGAACTCCTCTCTTCGTTACAGCCTGAAGCTTATTAACACTCTCACTGCTGGATTAATTTGTTATAATTACGAGCTGAAGGGCACCCACCGGAGGATGGGCTTTAGGGGTACAGAGCGCCTGATCCCCTCCGCCCTGCCTCAGTTTCCCCAACCCTCACAGAGCCTGTAGTTTCCCACCTCAATATGATGCTCCCGGCATTCTTCCAAGTTGTCCCAGCTTGGGACCGAAGCCAAGGGCCGGATCCGTGAGCTGAACAGGCTCAGCACCGCATGCTGTGCTGGCGGCGGTGGGGAGATGCAGGATGAGGCCCAGCCTTTGGCAAGGGGATTTTTTTCCACCGTTACAGCAGCGGCATTATCCCGGCGGGGGGGGAAATTCCCGCTGGGATGAGCAGGAGCTGGGGGTAATGCACCATCCTGGCAGGGTGAAGCAGTATCCAGGCGTGGGCAGGATGCGCCCCGCTGCATCCCTTACCCCAGCAAAGCCTCTCCCCCGCAGGGCTGATGTTGCTTCGGTCTCCATCTGCTTTCCTTGGGGACCCCCCTG